AATTGTAAATACAATGATATGATGTAGGGTTCAAGTATGTTCCATAAATATTTGAGGGATCGAAAATACTTGAATTAATGTTGGAAAATGAGTTTGAGGTATAGCGAGATGTAATGTTCCGCTAGTTGAGCTACTATATATCCCTAACATGTTTATAGTATTGTGAACTCTAATATTACTCGCTGGTCACACGATCTATTTGTCGTATGAATTTTTGTAAGATAGATCTTGAGAAAGATCTAATGCGTGACATTCGTTGTCTCTTGTGATTCGGATCAAGCCCATCAGGTACGAGTGGGGGGTTATTAGAAATATACGGATCGTGGATCGCCCATGTGGGATGCTCCGACCCACAAGTTATTAAAAGAGTTGTATGGAGTAGTTTGAATTTGAAATTCAAACATGCAACTCCATATAACCACCCTTAATTCTCATACAACTTTCAATGATTGTGCATTGGAAAAAGAGAGAAAAAGATTGCATGAAAAATAAAGGGAAATTCGTATGGAAATTTACACCAAATTAGAAAGTCCTTAGAACCATATTTTGGACATGAATTCTCACAAAAATTGACACTTGAATTGTGGATAATAATCCCCTTCCATTGTGAGCGGGATTAGAATCATTAGAGAACAAGAAATGCAAATTTTGAAACTTTGAAATGCAAGGTGATTTAACCATCAAAAGATCTTGGAATTTATCATTTCAAGTAAGTTTATTGGCCCGAAATTCATGTTAAAGAATGCTGCGAATTCTTACACTGAGATTAAAGCGAATAAGAGCTTCTATCATATTGGAATAATCTATAGAAATTTCTAAGGGAGGGATGGTTGAAGGCTGTAACAAAGTCCTTTTGGGATAAATTGTCTCCTTAAAAGGGAATGTGTGGTTATATTAGAAGGCATCATAGTGACAATGGATAGAAGATGAGCCCTTTCGATTAGAATTTGACTGTCGCACAATGATGGATGCCTTGAACAATCCCTATACACCATCCCTCCGTGCTCAAGTGTATCAGCTATTCTTTCCAAATCTTAAAAAGTAACTTTTAAATCTCAAAAATTCTTTTTGACTTCTCAATAGTCAAGCTGCCCAAAATATGGTTGGATGTTTAAAAAAGATAAATGAACCAAACAAAAAAAAGAACAACACGATTTTCAAAATACAAATTAGTAAGAATTTTCCCGTCGCAACTATAACCAATTGTTTTACTATNGGGATGATTCGACCCACAAGTTATTAAAAGGGTTGGAGGGAGTGATTTGAATTTGAAGTTATAACATGCAACTCCATATAACCACCCTTAATTCTCATACAACTTTCAATGATTGTGCATTGGAAAAAGAGAGAAAAAGATTGCATGAAAAATAAAGGGAAATTCGTATGGAAATTTACACCAAATTAGAAAGTCCTTAGAACCATATTTTGGACATGAATTCTCACAAAAATTGACACTTGAATTGTGGATAATAATCCCCTTCCATTGTGAGCGGGATTAGAATCATTAGAGAACAAGAAATGCAAATTTTGAAACTTTGAAATGCAAGGTGATTTAACCATCAAAAGATCTTGGAATTCATCATTTCAAGTAAGTTTATTGGCCCGAAATTCATGTTAAAGAATGCTGCGAATTCTTACACTGAGATTAAAGCGAATAAGAGCTTCTATCATATTGGAATAATCTATAGAAATTTCTAAGGGAGGGATGGTTGAAGGCTGTAACAAAGTCCTTTTGGGATAAATTGTCTCCTTAAAAGGGAATGTGTGGTTATATTAGAAGGCATCATAGTGACAATGGATAGAAGATGAGCCCTTTCGATTAGAATTTGACTGTCGCACAATGATGGATGCCTTGAACAATCCCTATACACCATCCCTCCGTGCTCAAGTGTATCAGCTATTCTTTCCAAATCTTAAAAAGTAACTTTTAAATCTCAAAAATTCTTTTTGACTTCTCAATAGTCAAGCTGCCCAAAATATGGTTGGATGTTTAAAAAAGATAAATGAACCAAACAAAAAAAAGAACAACACGATTTTCAAAATACAAATTAGTAAGAATTTTCCCGTCGCAACTATAACCAATTGTTTTACTATCACGCTACACAAACAGGCTAAAAGGCATGTTCAAAAATAGGATGACACATGTCGATATATGATTGGATAGTTTGAAAAAAAAAAATCCAAACAGGTGCTGCCAAGTTAATCTATTCATTATTTCTCTATCTTTGAGCATGTTCAATGAATCATTTTCAAGAGCTTAGACAAGTACCTTAGGCATGTCAATGAGCCGAGCCAAACCGAGCCGAGTTGAAACACCAGAGCAAAACAGGTCCGAGCTTTTCTTGAACCCCATCTGAGCTTATCAATAGCTCGACCAAAAAAATGAGATTCTGCTCGAGCTTTAGCGGGCCGAGCCGAGCCGGGTCCGAGCCAAATCGGCTCTTTTTTTTTAATTCGTTATAAATCTTTTTTATAATATATTTAAAATTTGTGTAATGTATTATAAATAATAACTAAATATTAATATATTAAAAAAATGCACCTAAACTTTAAAAAAAAAAGTACAAAAAAGTTTGGTGACGAGCCCGGGCTGGCTGGGGCTCGTCCGGAGCCTCAACTTGAGCCTCGAACCGGCCCGGTTCGAGCTTCCCCGGAAGAGTTCGGGCCGTCCGAGCCCATCTTTTTTTTTTTTACAGTACCTTATCACCAATGCATTCTAGCTGAAGCACAGCCCTCCGCTCCCGCTCGCCGATTTTCAATCCTGCATATGCAAAAAACTTCACCTTTCTCACAACACAATAAAATGCAGATGCCGGCCCCCATTCGATCCCCGACATGGTTTTCTAGGCGAAGACTTTTCGAACAAAAACTCGCTGACCTCCACAAATGCAAAGACTTGAATCAACTGAAGCAAGCCCATGCTCTTATATACAAATACAATCTTCAGAGAGACCCTTTTGTTGCGCCAAAACTCGTCTCTGCTCTCTCTTTATGCCGACAAATGGCACTAGCCATTAGTGTTTTTAATCAAGTAGAGGATCCAAATGTTCATTTGTACAATACTTTGATCAGAGCCCATGTTCAGAATTCGCAGCCCGCAAAATCATTTGAGATTTATTGTGAAATGCAAAAGTCTGGGGTTTTGCCGGATAATTTCACCTACCTGTTTCTTTTGAAAGCCTGTTCGGGGAAAGATTGGTTGAAACTAGTTAGAATGATTCATGCCCATGTCGAAAAATGTAGTCTTTATTCTGATATATTCGTGCCCAATTCATTAATCGATGCGTACTCTAAGTGTGGATTGATGGGTATTAGAGCAGCCAAGAAAGTGTATAATGTAATGGAGGATAGGGATGTGGTTACTCATAATTCGATGATTAGTGGGTTAATGAAAGCTGGAGAGTTGACGGAGGCAAAAAAGGTGTTTGATGAAATGCCTGAGAGAGATAGGGTGAGCTGGAACACTATTTTGGACGGGTATGTAAAGGCCGGGAAGATGGATGTCGCAATCGAGCTGTTTGAAAAAATTCCCTCGAGGGATGTCGTCTCATGGTCTACACTGATTTCGGGTTATGTTAAAGCAGGGGATGTGGAAACGGCTAGAATATTTTTTGATAAGATGCCAGTGAAGAATTTGATTACCTGGACAATAATAATATCTGGGTATGCCGAAATGGGACTTGCAAAGGAGGCAGTTGGGTTGTATGATCAATTGAAGGAGGCGGGATTGAAACCAGACGATGGGGCATTTGTTAGTATTTTATCTGCCAGTGCAGGGTCTGGTTTGCTTGGTTTAGGGAAGAGAGTTCACAAATCTATTGTGGAGAGTAAGTATGAGTGTAGTACTTCAGTATGTAATGCCTTAATAGATATGTATGCCAAATGCGGGAGCTTGAACAAGGCGTCAAATATTTTTGATGTGATGGTAAGGAAAGATTTAGTTTCTTGGAATGTCATGATCCATGCGTTGGCCATGCATGGACATGGACACAAAGCTCTTCAATTTTTTGATAGGATGAAACGAGAAGGATTTACACCTGATAAAGTGACTTTTGTTGCTGTATTGTCTGCTTGTAGTCATGCGGGTTTAGTTGATCAGGGCATTAGTTATTTCTATTCCATGGAAAGAGATTATAGAATTGTTCCCGAGATTGAACACTACGGTTGTATGATTGACCTTTTGGGTCGTGGGGGCCGTCTTAAGGAAGCTCTTTCACTTGTACATAACATGCCATTTGAGCCAAATGTAGTAATTTGGAGTGTCCTTCTTGGGGCTTGCCGAATGCACAATGCTATGGAAATTGTGGAGTTGCTTAATCAGTTAGTGAAATTAGAGTCAACTGATGCAGGAAGCTGTTCTATGTTGTCAAATATATATGCCATGGCAGGGAATTGGGAAAGTGTTGCTAACGCAAGATTGCAAATGAAGAAGACAAACAGTCAGAAGGTATCTGGGGCCAGTTCAATTGAGTTGGATGATGGATTTCATGAATTCAGTGTGATGGATACATCTCACCCTAAATCAGATACAATATATCAGACAGTCAATGGACTGAGTCAGAATCTTAAAAAAGTTGTTTCTGCACCCTTATGCTAGAACTGTGTTGCAAATAGAGATTTGAGATTCCTCTTTATGCGATAACGATGTATGATGCCAATTATCAGTCTTTACAAAGCAGCAGACGCTCTCAAGTGTGGAGCAGAAAGTCATTGCATGCACTTTTCTCCACCATCCTTTTCCAAGGTTTGAATCAGCTGTTACTCCACTCCTACTGAAGGGGAATTGAATCCATTGTTCATATTTGTATGATAAGTTGGTAACATATGGCAAAAAGTTTATTGTAATGGATCTAATTCAAGTGTCCATAGATAAGAAGTGAAAATTGCTGTTCACAAAGTCTTTATACTGGAATTGAAGCATCTTCATGCGAAAATTAATGACATTTTCAAATCGTCGTTTGCCTCACATTGATTATCAACCATTGCTTAAGACCAAAACCGTCACAATTTGGCATGTTTGTGTAGGGTAAATCGTAAGGTTTGCCTTATCCTTTCCTCTCAAAAATCTTTGTGGAGTAATATATCCATGGATAGTGAAATTTGGTCATATTTTAAAAGGTAGTCTGTGTTATATCTTGCTGCTTCCATGGGAGAACTTGTATCATGCTTCTAGCCATTACTGTCACTTAGTATTTGTGGGACAAATTGTGAAGCATCATGTATAAATACATAGTAATCAGCATGAAGAGCATTTTGTTTCTTATGCTGATTGAAAATTGTGTAACTTTTCTGGCAAGACAAAATAATTGATATTGTGCTAGAAATTGTGTTTTCAGCTAGAATTTCATGAAAAATGAATTCTTGAATTCAGTCGGTTTTTGGTTAAGAAAGCTATGTCCAGTCTTGTGTACTCCAGAATGCAACAATTTAGTGAGGAAAAAAAAAATACATTTTTCGTCTTTTTCTGCATTTTTATTACTTTTTCTACAATAAAAAATCACAATTAATAAATTGCTTTACATAAATATCCGAAGTTCACTGAAGCTAAGCTTAATTGAAAAACGAACAACTGAACAACCGAGTAAATTTTTACTTGCCGATAAAGAGCTAATTGGTAAACGATTGTGTTTGGACGGTGTTTTCCAAAGCCTAAAAGAACTTTCATAGCAGTTTTTTGATCAATAATTTTTAAATAAAACCTCTGCTTACAAAGTTGTGACATACAAATCATAAGTATAATCACTGCTTGTTGGGGTCAGACATCCAAGTTTTCTTATTTTTTCCTAAAATAAATTTGAAAATTTATATAATATATATAAAAGCTTCAATATATCACTAGAATGTGAGTTAAATATTTCATTAGCCACAAAACTTATATTTTCGTCGTATTTTACTTAATTAGTCATTGAAGTTTTAAAATGATTTCGAGTAGTTGCTGAAATTTAATATATTGCACTCTATTACTCACTATGTTCCATTAGTCACTAAACTTATACCTCCTTCATGCTTTATTCACTAAATTTTAAAACGCTTTCAAATAATCACTGAACTTTACTCATTGAATTTAACTGTTCAAAAATTGAAAATTTTGAAATATAAAATACCATACACAAAGACAAGACCATTCTTTCCACTTGAATTATCTTGTGATAACTCTAAAAATTATATTTTGTTAATCTTGATTAATATTATTGACTAAAAATTTCACTGTCTCTTTGAGATGTAATTTTTTAATTTCTTGATTTGGATCTACAATCTCAATCGAAATAAAAATAATAATTTCTCTATTTTATTTTCTTGACGTAAGAGAATATTATAATCTAAATTAAGATTTATATCAATTTGAAACTAGCATTCTTCTATCCTCTTGACCATAACTTTCGATGACTAGAACAATTATATATATATATATTATCAATATCAATATTATTGTCTTAGATTGAGAGTCTCGTTGTTTATTCGATATTTATTTTATTTTATTGATTGAGAGTCTCAATCTTCTATCCTCTTGACCATAACTTTTGACAACTAGAACAATGATATCTTTTTTATCAATATCAATATTATCGTCTTAGATTGAGAGTCTCATTGTTTATTCGATTTATTTTATTTTATTTTATTGATTTAGGTCGAATTTTATAGAAAATCAACTTTACTCAAAAACATTATGAAGTTCAGTCATCGCTCGAAAACGTTTTAAAGTTCAGCGAGTAAAGTGTGATGAAAGTATAAGTTCTGGCTAATGAAACATAGTGGATGAATGATAGAGTGCAATGTATTAAAGTTTAGTAATCACTCAAAAGTATTTTAAAATTCAATGACTTCTGAAAAATAATGAGTGATAGAGCGCAACATGTTAAAATTTAATGATTATTTGAAAGTATTTTAAAATTCAGTGAGTAAAACGTGACGAATATATAAGTTCATTGACTAACGAAGCATACATCTCCTTAAATCTTAATGTAGTCCCTTGGTAAAAGTGTTGAAAGCTTACCTTCCTCAAAGGGATCGAATAAAAGATGACCCAACATTATTATTTCAATCGTGATATATGTATATTATCGTTTACATTATTTTTTATATTTTGTCACGTGGCAATACACCATTGAACAGTTTGATAGTTTTTCACCCAGTCAACACTTGTCAACACATGTCCTGTCTACCATAATGTCAAAAAGCAATATACAAGTGGCATTTTCCTTATTATTTTCCTATTTTTCCTTAGGAAATTTGCATAAACGTCCTTATATTTAGCTCTTCTAGAAAATTCATTCTCAACTTTTTTATCATAGTTTTTAAGTCCTCAACTTTTAGTTCCATGCATATATCAACCTTTATACTTAATTTCGTCAACTTTAACTTAATTCCCTCGAGTGAAATGCACAAACTAGTTTTTCAAATGGTGGCAAAATATTTGCTTCAAAGCCAACCCAATATTTCAACATTCAATGTTTCTCAATTTTCAATTTCAAAATTTGAAGGACTTTTTTTTTCATTGTTTACACACAAACCACGTCAAAATTTAGTTGAATGCATAATCAAATTATGAAAACCATTCAAAGAAGAAAAATTCTACACCTTGTGATAGTGCAATTTGAAAAGAAAAAAAGATAATCGGAACATAATTGTGTTTTTCTTCACTTACTTATCGGGAATGAATTTTTTATTATTATTATTATTTTTTTATTTTTTTTTTGTGCGTGGGGACGAATAGGTGGAGGAGATACAAATCTTTTACCCTTGAGCTCAAATGTGGATACAACAATTTTCAACCAACAAAGAACAGGAGAATTGGTGAATAAATTAATGTTTCGTTTGCTTTATTTTCATATTTATGAATATTGTAACTATTTGTAGGCATTAAAAAATGAGTTAAAATCTGATATCTAATTTTTGCTGTATATCCAATTAATTATTGACACATCATTTTTAAAATAACATGTGTAAGGATTTTAATGAAATAAGTCAATGAAAAATTGAAGCATAACACAATCACAAGAAAAATATTCATAGTAAAAAGGCAAAAACGCCAAGTTGTTAACCCAGTTGAGCCAAAGGCCTAGTCTGGTGGGCTCAAAGACTGTAGCCCCGTTCCACTAGTGCAAAATAGCATTCCAAGAGAGAATATATTTTACATCAAACCACTCAAAACACTGGTTTGATCATCGACCCTTCTGGATCTACAAAACCACGATACAAATCCTTCGCAACAATCAAACCTCAACCGTCCTAACCAAATCATAGAACAACACAGACTACAAATAGCCTAGAGTTAATGTAGCATGACCAATATTACATGATTTATCACAAAAACCAGATTTACAGATAAGGATTTCAACACCAAGAAGAAGAAAGAAAGAAAACCTTAAAAAACGAAGAGTTTAGAGAAAAAACAGAAGAATCAGTCAGAAACCAAAAGTGACGCTACAGTACTCATCAAAACCAAGTTAACTGAAATGATTTTATCAAGAATAAATCTCAGCCATCCATTTGGTTAGACGGTTAATATCATTCCTCCACTAGCACAATCCGTGTCACACCCAAATGGCCATTTGGAGGTTGCCACATAGGCTGTCCACAATCCCAATAATCAGTTGAGGCGAATTTCAAAAATAGCACCGATTTAATAGTGTTTTGAGAAGCACACATTTTCAATTCTTTACCTTGGTTCTCAATAACACCTTACTCTCTCCGGTTGCTAAAGTTTAACATGGAACTTACAATCTATGATCATTGCCCAGTACCTGTAAAACATTTAACTTGTGTCAATATGCAGTATAGACAAACATGACTTAAATTTTGCAATAGATAAAACTTTTGTCCCCGTATTTGAGTTTCATGATAAACATGATTTTTGCTAAATAAGAGTGCACTCTGACGTTAGTGAACTTAATGGGAGTATCATGCACAACGTTTAATTCATTTAAAATTCCTCTTAATCAGATACATTCTTTCAAAGCCTCAGTAATAGCAACATATTCAGTTTCAGTGTTGGATAATGTCACCATTGATTGCAGTTGTGATTTCCAAGTTATACAATTGTCACCAAGTGTTAAAAAGTAAGTTGCATTTGATTTTCTGTTATCTTTATCACCAGGAAAATCAGCATCCGCATAATCTTTTAATGTTATCTTATCAGTTCTCTTTTCATACACAAGTCCAAGATTTAAAGTACTAACAATGTATCTTAACAACCATTTTAAACATGACCAATGGGGCTTACCAGGGTTGGACATAAATCTTCTTAAAAAACTAATTGCATGAGCTAAATCAGGTCTGGTTGTTATCATAGAAAAACATAACAGAGCCTATAGCATTAGAATAAGGTATGTTTCTCATTTCCCTTAATTCATCCTATGTTTTAGGAGAGTGTGCACTGGAAAGATTCATGTGAGCAGCTAAGGGAACATTTACAGATTTTGATTCTTTCATTTCAAACTTAGTTACAACTTTGTTTAGATAGGCTTTCTGAGTAATAGTTAACCTGTTTTCAGGCCTATCTCTTTTTATAACCATTCCCAAAATCTTTTTAGTATTCTCTAAATCTTTTATATCAAACTCAGATTTTAAAAGATCTTTCATTCTTATGATTTCAGATTTGCTTGAACTAGCTAGAAGCATGTCATCTACATAAAGAAGCAAATAAACCTCACAGCCTTTCTTTGAGTTGTTATAGTACAAGCAAGCATCATAATCACTTCTTTTAAAACATATCTTAAGTACATAGGCATCAAACCTTTTGTACTATTGTCTAGGACTTTGTTTAAGTCCATACAATGATCTTTCC